CCCCCCCCCGAAGTCTGAGATGTAAGAGAAGGACACAGCCAACCCCCCACCCCCCGGCCTTCAAGCCGGGAACCGGCCCCGAAATCAGACCGGGCCCCGAAATCAAACCCAGCCCCGCACGGAGCCGAGCCCCCCCCAAAACCACAGCCCCCCCCAGCCCACCGCTCCACAGCCGGGCTCCGGCCAAAGGCCTCGTGCCGGGGCCGTGCCGCGCCCCCCCGCCCCTCACCTTACACGCCTGGTAGCTCTCGAAGGCGCGCAGGGCGCTCTCCGTCAGCTTCACGTGGAAGACGGAGACGCGGGTGCCGCGGCCCAGCCGGCCGCAGGACAGCCCGTACCCGCGCTCCGCCTGCAGCGCCGCCATCTTGGGACCGTCTCCCCCTCCGCGCCTGGGCCGCCGGGGCCTCCGCCGCCGCCACGCCCCCTTCGTGCATTATTCATGAGAGTTCGGAGGCGGAGCTCCTCGGGCTCCGCCCATCCGGAGAGCCTGTTGCTGGGGGAAGGAGGTGGGCAGAGCGCGCTCCCATTGGTCGAGCTTCACGGGACGCCGCGGCGGAGTGGGTGACAAGAGGGAGGGGCGGGGATATGCAAAAACGACGACCGCGGGGCATGGCGGGAAGGGTGGTTTGGGGCGGCCGCAGGGGGACTCGGGGGCTGCGGGCGGGCGGTGCCCGGAGGCGGTTGGGGAAACCCCCCCTCCTCCTCCGGCCGGCACAACGCCCCGAGGGGCCCGGGCTCGCTCTTCCCGCAGAGCACCTGCCCCTGGGCACGGCCTGGAGGTACGCAGCCCCCCCCCCCCTCCCACTAAGGGCAGGAGGAGCCCCCCCAGGGGCAGCCTTTGGGGCCGGAGTTTGTTTTATTCCCACGTGCGTGACTCCCCCCATCCGAGCAGATTCCCCACTGCCCCCCAACCAGCCGCTCCCAGCCCCTGTTGCAGTGCTGCACCTCACGGTGGAAAGAACAAGGCCCAGCCGTGCACGAATCGTCCTTTATTGGGGAGTTCACAGTCAGTGGGGGGGGGGGGGGGGACAGTGCGTATGGCCCCTAGGAGCAGAGCTGAGCTGGCGGCTGTGGGCCCATGGCTGCGGGGAGCTGCAGGGCAGAATGGGGACCCCGCAGGGCCAGACCTACAGGATCAGCCAGGACACTGCTATGATGCTTCGTGTCCTTCACCCCACGGGGTTCTTTGGCTCTCTGCGGGCATTGCACGCTCTGCGGAAATGCTGAGGGGGGAGCGGGAGGGCAGAGCTGGGGCTCCCTGGCAGCCCCCCGGCTCAGGGGGAATCTCATTGCACGTGCCCCAGGCACCCCACATCCCTTACAGTGGGCTCACGTCCAGCCAGCTTCCTCCAGCAGCCTCGCAGCCAGGAGCACAGCAGTGCCGGGGCTCGCTGCATCCTCCCTGGGACACGCTGCTGGGGACAGTCACTGTGTGCAGCACTTGCAGGAGGTCAGGCTGCCCCTGACGCATTCAGGGCTGCGGGGTCTCTGCTTTGCCTGCGGCTCTGTCCCCAACAGGACGAGGTTTGGGGGTGCTGGGTGACGGTCAGGATAGGGGGGACATGGTACCTCCTGCCAGGAGAGCATCTGTGAGTCCACAAGGAACAGGGAAAAGAGCAGAGCCCCATGGACCCCTTGGCAGGAGTGAGGCACATCCCAGCGCCGGGCTCCCCACTGCCGTCCTCAGTTCCTTGCAGCGATGACCACAGACAGGGCCACGCCACCAAGCGCGATGGCTGTCGCACCGAAGAGCCACTTCCAGGGGATGGACTGAAGGGGAGAGAAATTAGCACTGTGACGGGATGCCCCTCAGCCTGGATGTGCAGCCCTGCCTGCTGGCACAGGGCCATGGGGCAGCGCGTGGCTCCCGACGCATCCGAGATAACACAGCCCAAAAAGGCAAGTGCTGCGTCGGCTCTGCCCGGCGCGTGGCCGGCACGTCCGAGGGGACAGCATGTGCTGCCCAGCTGACAGCGCTTTCCACCTGCACGGCCAGCTGGGAGCAAAGTCCAGAGCCTCCAGCTGCCATCGCCAGCCAGAGCAGCGGCAGCACCGCAGCGATCAGCAATTCCCTGGCCCTCAGCCTGGGCTGGTTCACTTCAACGGCCCCCTGCCCAGGAGCAGCACCACGCTGGCCCTATGGGACGCACCCCCTGTAGTCCCCAGGGGTGTCTCCAGCTCTGCCATCCCTCTGTATGCCAGCACCAGCCCTTACCCAGGTCAGCTTGTCTTTGCACTTCACCGGGGCACTGCTGGCTCTGGGATTCCCAAGCATCTTCCTGTACATCTCCGTCTCCACCGTCTTCTGGTCCGCGTGCTTCTTCACCAGCTTTGAGAGCTCAGCATGGATGGTCTGGGGAGCAGAATGCAGCACAGTGGTTATCAAACCCTGGGTGGAGGGGAGGGGACAGGGACAACAGTGCAGATAACAGCAGGCTGGGCCCCCCCAGTCCTCAGAACCTTCATCATCCCTCAGGAGCGATCCTGCCAAGCTCTCCTAAAAATGCAGTTCTGAGCTCTAGCTGTGCCCCATCTTTTTTGTCCACCAAAGCTTCTCCTTGCTGACAGCCTGTTTCCTATGGAAGTGACATGAAGGAACAGCTGCTGGCAGTGCAGAGAGGAGCCTGAAGCTGATGGCAGGCATCAGGAGAGGATTTTCTCCTTTAATCGAGGCGGAAAAGTTTCTGCCTCAGGGACAGACCAGCCTGAGCTCTTCCACATTTCCGTCAGGAAAAAGGCTGGGCAAGCAGGCTTACACCAAGAATGCTCTGAAACCAGACTGTGGCAAAACCTGGACGTCCCGCTGCATCCTGCACCATGGGACCTGCTCCGCGGTGGAGGGCCAACATCCCCAGCCTGCAGTGGCTGCAGGATGTGGTGGCAGCAGCACAGCAGTGCCACAGCCATGCTGTGCCCTCTGCTGGGGATGCTGCCCCAAAGCAGCAGTACAGCGAGCAGCCAGGGCACTGCCAAGCCATGGCACCAGCAGCAAACACACCCCAGCAGCTCGCTGGGTTTGGTGTTTTGGTGTAGGACAAACAGCATCTCCATAAGGGTGAATTTCTGAGGGGTTAGAAAGGGACGTGAAGGTCTGCACCAGCTAGGAGGTGCTGGCAGCCCCGGACAACCAGGTTTCCTCATCCAAGGGCAGGTGGAGCTGAGCATTTCTCGAGTCTGTTTTCACCAGCAGCAGCCATAGCTGTGACTCACCAATGTGTGTTTAACGCTGCTGTCTGGAGCAGCACTACCACATCCCTGTGAATCCCAGTAAGCAGCTGGAAAGGCCAGTAATTTGTTTGTGGTTTCACCAGTAACGTCACTGCTGGGCATTTTGATTTTTGCTCCTTTTCAATTAAAAGCTTCACTCCGGTGAGCTGATGAGCCGCAGCCCTGCCAGCAGCAATGACATGAAGGACAAGCAGGGAGAGCATCCCTCATCCCTGTAGCCCTAGCTCTGCTCCCCTACCTCCTCCATGCTGCCCAAGACTTTGAGATCCCACATGCCCTTCCCCAGCAGGGCTCTCAGAGCAAAGCTGCCTGGGTGCTCTGAAGGCCACTGAACACCTGCAGTCCCCACGCTGCCCATGACCTTCAGGCACCAGGGAACACGAGGTGAACTGTGATGTTTTGGTGAAATGCCCACAGAGGCGGATAAAACTGAGGAGCCAATGCAGGAGCAAAGCCCCCACTGCAGGCAGCGCCTCCCCTGCTGCTCCCAGCCCTGCTTTTGCTGGGGCCATTTCCTGGCACTGCTGAGGCTTTTGACTTCCCCGAGGCTTCAGTCCTGCAGCTGATCATTAACCGACAGGAAATTCCTGACCCACAGATTGCTCCGGCCTGGGCGCTGGACTGAGGTCTGGGCTTGCTGGGGCCACCCAATGAATCACACTGCAGGCTGCTGGGTGAGATGGCAACAACTTGCTCTGCCTCGCTTCTCGCAGCAATGGCACAAGCCAGCAGACCGTGCAGGCAGAGCTGCTGAAGCAGAGATGGGCTGGCAGAGAGCCCTGCTACCACAGGGGCCAAAGGGCATAAAGAGAGCCTCGCAACGTGGCGATAAGGAACCCACGCGCTCAGCCGTGTTCAGGTATTGCAGCACTGGGTGCTGGCACTTGGTTCACCACCTCACGGCTGCCCCAGCCCTGCACAGAGGAGACTGGTGACAGCTACGGGGGGCACCGAGGCTTGTAGGAACACGGCCACAAGGACAGAGCCCCGAGGACACCCAGCCTACCTTGTTTGAAGGCTCCAGCTTCAAAGCCGCCTTTAGGATGGGGATGGCCTCTCTGTACTCGCCCTGCTGGGCCAGGACCTGGAAGGTGAGGTGGGGGTTGAGGGAGGTGACTGAGGTGTGGTCCCCACCCCTCCCCAGCCCTGCCACACAGCAGGGATGGCAGCACCTCACCTTGCCCTTTCGGAAAAGTGCCTTGATGTTCTCTGGCTGATGCTCCAGAACAAGGTTACAGGACTTCAGGGCTGCCTCATAATGGTCCAGTTTAAGCTGAGAGGCTGCCAGATTGTTGAGACATTTCACCTTCACGTCCAGCAGCTCAGCCTCTTCATCTGGGGTGAAATCAACTGCAAAGACCCCAGAGGTGGGTTACAACAGGAAGGAAGCGCAGGCAGCCCTCACTCACAGCAGCAGCAGCATCAGGTACCTTTTGAGCTGGAGCTGATGACTTTGAGAGCGATGTCGTAGGAATTGATGGCCAGCACATAATCTGCTTGCTGGTAGTAGAAGTTGCCTCGTTCCCTCTTGCGGTTGGCCAGGCCTATCTTCTCCTTCCCACTGAGCAGCTCCAGGTCTGGTGCATCCCGAGCCTCCAGCAGCTCCACCTCCAGTGTGAGTGCTGCGTTGGGTGGGATGTCAGGGCTCCTGCAGTGGCACAAAGCCATGCTCAGGCCTGGCTCTGCTACAAACCGCCAATCCCAGAGGTGACAGCAGAGCCACAGGGGCTCCCCAGCAGTACAGGCTGTAGTAGAGGGGACTGGGGATAGCTGTCATAGCCCTGTTTCAGCCTACCCTATTTCGTTCCACACTCCCCATGCTCACCTGCCCTGTACACCATAGCAGTACTTGGCATCTGACATAATCAAAGCCGTTTCTCCCATCTCCATAAGCTGTACGCAGAGGTCCAGAGCCTACAGGGAGCAACGTTGCAGAAGAAGGTGAGCAAAGGGGCCAATCCTGCCTCCAACAAGGACATCGCCAACCCTAAGTCTCCCCCCAAGGTGAAGTTGCACACATCAGGGCGGCTTCCTCCAAGCCCCACCTGCAATACGTCGCAGTCTCCCAGGGTAAAGCTGAGGCCGGGGTTCTCCTCCACCACACTGCCATCCTCCAGCATGGCCCTCAGACGGACAGTCACATCCTGGCCCTTGCAGGGCCGGCTCTCCACCCCCTGACCTGGCACGAGTGTCTTCTTCTTAAGCAAGCCGCTCCCTGGGCCAAGAGAAGCCGGAGGTGATCAGCACACAGTAGGGAATGGGAGAACCCTGCTCCCAACCCAACCTCAGCCTCTGTGCCGGTCAAAGCATCCTGCGAACGCCCTGCCACCCTCCTGCCCTGCTCTCACCCAAGACGTCGAGCCACTCCTGGGGCTCCTCGGCTGCTTCCCCTGGGCCTCGCTCTGAGGACTGGGCGCCCTCCCGCAGCGGTCCCCGCGCCCGTCCCACGTCCTCCAGCGGCGGCAGCTCGCTCAGGTCGTCCTCGTCCTCCTCCAGAACCTCGAAATCCTCCGCGCCGTCCAGCTGAGAGGCGCCGACCGCGGCCGGTTCCGGGCTGGGCGGTTCGGTGCCGCCGCCTGCCCGGCTCGGGGAGCCGCCGCTCGTCTCCTCCCCGCTGGAAGCCATCGCGGCAGAGCAGGGAGAGCGGCGACCTGCGGGAGAGAGGAACAGTCGGCGCTACGGACACCGCGATGAGGCCGCCGGCACTCCCGGAGCGCACGGGGCTGTCCCGGCAGGGCAGTCGGGGCCGGACCGGGGAGGCCCGAGGCACCGGTTCCGGCCCCTGGAAGCGCCGCCCCGCGCGCCCCGCTCCACCACGTGCTTTTCTCCCGCGCGCGCACCCGGCGGGGGTCCCCACGTCACCGCCCCGTCACGCGCCGGGACTCCCCCTATAGCAACGGCCGCCGCGCGCCCCCCGCCGCTCCCACCTACCCGCGAACTCGAGGCCGCCGGCCCCGCCCCCGCGCTCCCATTGGACCGCTGCCTCCCGCCCCACCGACGCCATTGGGTGGCGCCGACGCTCCTCATCGACGCGTCGAGCGCGGCGCGCCGCGGACTTAAAGGGGCCGCCGCACCGCACCTGCTCCGCGGGCCCGGCACCCCCGCCGGGCCGGCGTCCTCACCGCCCGTAGCTCCGGTAGCTTTCGGTGCCCCGCCGCCGAGGGCTGTGAGTGCCGGAGGCCCACAGAGGTTTCCTGCAGCGCTTAACCCCCGCGCGGCAGGGCCGTCGCCCGGGAGACCCCCGGCTCTGTGCTCCGGTACCGAGGCGGCCCCGCGGCTCCCGGTTTCCCCCTCGGCCCAATCTCCACCACTTCCGGCCCGGCTCCGTGACGCACGCGCGCGGTGACGCCACGGGGTCGCGCTCGACGTGACCCCGCACCCGGAAGCGAGGCGCGGCCGCCGGTGCCGCTCCCGTCATGTGAAGGGAGAGGGAAAGGAGCGGCGCCCGGTGCTGCCGCGGGAGGGGCGGGGCTACCGAGAGGGGCTCGAGCCCGCGCCGTTACCGGGAAGCGGGCGGGGAGGGGGGGGGGTGGCTCCGTTACCGGGCACGGCGGGGGCCGGGGGTCCCGCGGGCAGCGGCGCGATGGAGCCCACGGCTTCGCGGGTGTTCTGCGGGCGGGTGCTGGGCATGGTGAACGCCGAGGACGTGAACGCCATCATCCAGGCTCAGAAGAACATGTGAGTCCCGGGGGAAACGGGGTCCCGTGCGAGCGGCAGCCCTCGGTGCCCCCGTGTAACCGTGGGAACGGCCGCTCCCCCGCAGGCTGGATCGCTTCGAGAAGACGAACGAGATGCTGCTCAACTTCAACAACCTGTCGAGCCTCCGCATGCAGCAGATGAACGAGCGCTTCCTGCACCACACCAAGACGTTGGTGGAGATGAAGAAGGACCTCGACAGCATCTTCCGTCGGATCCGGTAGGTGGAGGTGGGAGGGGATGGCCGGGGGACCTCGAAGAGATTTGTGTGGGTCTGTCTGTGAACCCGGCTCTCTCCTCCCGCAGGGCGCTGAAGGGGAAGCTGGCCAAGCAGTACCCGGAGGCTTTCAGCAGTGAGTGGTTCCGTCGGTTCTCTTCCCCCATGAAGGTTCCTCCTCCTCCGAATGCGCCTTCAGTGCCGCCTTTGGGAGTCGGGGCCTTTGGGACTGCCAGCACGCAGTGCTAAGAATCCAGGGAGCTTTTTTCTTATATTGAATGTGGATGCAGGAAATCGCAAAGCCACAAATGGCTGCTCGTTTAAGTGGGATCCGTTTTTTGTTGATTACTGCTACAAGCAAAGGAGCAAATCCTTCCGCCAAAGCACCCCCCATAGCCGGCCTTGCAGCACATCGTGGTGTTGTGTGCAGTTGTTAATCTCTGAGTCTTTCTTTCCAGACATTCACGAATCTCCTATTCTAGAAGATGACGATGACTTCGACCCGGTTCCAAAGAGCACGACAACCACCATTGCTACCTCTGAGCAGAGCACGGAGTCCTGTGACACGAGCCCTGACATCATCTCTCCCACCATGAGTCAGGATTTTGAGGATTTATCACAGGGCCAGTACGATTTACCGGCTGTGAACGGACAGAGTCTGACAGACGAAGACACTGCCAACGACCTGGACTAAGGCACGTGGCTCTGCCCCATCCCTGGGGCCCCCGAGAACTCTCTATCTTGTATTTATATTTGTGTGTTCCTTTGGCCATTTATTTTTGGGAAGAGATGGCTGAGTGAAGAAGGGGGTGAAAGGTCCCTCCGACTGCCTCAAACCTGCTATTGTAGCGCAAATCCTGCAACTTAACATGGGCAAATGAGTAAAACGAGGATTTGAAAAGCCTCCTGTCCTTTCTTGTGTGCGTGTCCAGAAGAGTCAGAGGTGGATGGCGAGCTGGATACAAGCCAGCAGTGTGCCCTCACAGCTCAGGATATGGTATCCTGGGTATCCAAAGCAGCGTGGCCAGCAGGTCACGAAGGGAATCTGTTCCTCTGCTCTGATGAGACCTCACCTGGAATGCTGTGTCCAGATGTGGAGTCCTCAGTACGGGAGATGCATGGAAGCGCATCCAGAGGAGTGCCACAACGGTGGTCTGAGGGATGGAACAGCTTCCCTGCAAGCACAGGCTGAGAGCAGCCTTCACCTACCTAATGGGGCTGTAGGAAAGAACGGGGGTCTCTTCAGCAGGGTCTGTTGTGGCAGGAAAAGGGGAAAGGCTCAGCGTCCCTCGCTGTTCCAACCTCGGCTGTGCCCCCCTCCCTCTCCAGCATCTCAGGACCGTCCCGGCAGCTGCGTCCGCAGCTGCCGGGACGGTCCTGAGATGCTGGGGAGGGAGGGGGGCACAGCCAGGGCCTGGCTTGCTGCTGCCTGCGGGAGATACGGCGGCTGGGACAGTTTGGAACGGAGGCAGCGGGACGCAGGGACGGAGAACCGAACCCAGACCGAACCACGCCGGTACCGAGACCCGATCGGCTCCCCCACACCGCACCGAGGCGCTGCCCGGTCGCGCATTGCGGCTGCGCGGAAGTGGGAGGGTGGAACGGAAGTGACGTCACGACGGGCGACTTCCGGTTCCGGTCGCTCTTTTCTCGGCGGCGAGGCGAGGCGGTGCGTGCGGATGGGCCGGGCTGCGTGTTGGGAACAGGGATTGGGGCAGAGCGGAGGGTGTTAAGGAGCGGGATTCGGTTCTGGGGCGGGTGGGGGAAGTCGGGGAGCCGCGATCCGGTGTTGGGACGGCGGTGGTGGGAGCCTCGGCCTGGAAGGTGGAAGCCTCGGCCTGGAGGGTGACGCGGCTGCTGCCCCCCCCCCCCCCATCCCTTCCAGGCGGACCGGTGCCAAAATGCAGATCTTTGTGAAGACGCTGACGGGCAAAACCATCACCTTGGAGGTGGAACCCAATGACACCATCGAGAACGTCAAGGCTAAGATCCAGGACAAGGAAGGTGCGCTTAACCAGGAGTCCCAGCGGCTGCTCCTGCCTCTCCCTCCTTCTTCCCTCCTCACCTCTCGTTTAACGGTTCTCCCCCGCAGGGATTCCCCCCGACCAGCAGCGCCTGATCTTCGCAGGGAAGCAGTTGGAGGATGGCCGCACACTCGCCGACTACAACATCCAGAAAGGTGCCGTTGTTGGGCCCGGTGTGGGCCCGCAGCTGGGTTCTGCTGCTTCTCGGCCCCCTCAGTGATGTTTATCTCTATTTCAGAGTCCACCCTGCACCTGGTGCTGCGTCTGCGTGGGGGCATCATTGAGCCCTCCCTGCGGCAGCTGGCCCAGAAGTACAACTGCGATAAGATGATCTGCCGCAAGTACGGCCCTGGTTTGGGGGTGCCCATATCAGCCCATTTATACCCCCTCATTTATACCCCTGCCATGCTCTCCATGCGCTGCGATTCGTCAGCGCCCCCCCAGGAGAGGCTTTAGGCCCCCTGGTGATGGGCTCTGTGCTCCCTTCCAGGTGCTATGCTCGCCTCCATCCCCGCGCTGTCAACTGCCGCAAGAAGAAGTGTGGCCACACCAACAACCTGCGCCCCAAGAAGAAGGTCAAATAGAGCTGCTCTGCACCGCACTGTGCTCTCCCAATAAAGCATCTGCGTTCAACCCCTGTCCTGTCCTTTGTACTCAAACGGGGTGCTTTTCCATAAACACGAGGCCGGGCACGGAGCGCGCCGGAACTGCGTTCTGTCCTGGTGCTCGGGTGGGACTGAAGGCTCCCGGGGCGGAGGAGGGGGGGAACTGAGGCGCTGCCCGGCGATGCCTGCAGGTGGCGGCGGTGCCGCGTTGCGCCGTGCTCCGCCCCCGCCGGGCCTGCGCGTTCCGCTCCGCTCCGGGAGCGGCCCCGGCCATGGTGAGCGGGGCGGGGGTGCCGATAGCCGTCTGGTTTCACGGGGCTGGGGGGACCCGACGTACCGGAGCCGGGTTGTGCACGCGTGACCGGGCGCTCCGGTAGCGAGCGGTACGGCGGAGGTCGGGCGCTCCGTGCGCGGTTCCGGCCCGGCAGAACCGAACACGCGGGGTGGGAGCGGTGCGGGCAGCAGCGCTGTGCCGGTGCCCCACGGCCCTCTCTGTCCACGCAGACCGACGAGGCGCTGCGGGCGCTGCTTCAGCGCTTCTACGCTCTGCAAGGGGAGCGCGTGGAGACGTACCGGCTGTTCGAGGAGTGAGTACCGGGACGGGACCCCACGGGGATGGGTTCCCCCATCCCTCCTCTACACATCCGTACGGAACGAGCTGCGGGGCACAGAAGGGCAACGGGAAACCAAACGATCGCCCTGGTGTGAGCACCGGGAACGGCACTGCGTGGCCACGGTGACGTTATTTTGCTGCCTTTCTTCTGCCTTCATTCCCCAGAGGTCACCGCGCATACCTGAGCAGCGCCCCGCACTACGATTTCCCTCGCTACCGGCAGTTGGTGCACGAGGTGACGGCGGCCTTCAGCGGCATCTCCCGCGAGGTGCTGCAGCTCCAGGGCCGCCTGCGGGGTGAACTCGGCCGCCCCGACCTGGCCCAGCACCTCACCCGCCTCCAGGAGCGCGAGCAGGAAAAGCTGCAGCTGGTGAGCGCCGGGCACGGGGGGTGGGAGGGGTCCCGCTGCCACCTGAACGGGGTGGGCTCAGCCCCCGTGCGTCCCCCTGCAGACAGCACAGCTCCAGCTG